GGACCCATTCTCAACTGAGGCTGGGGATTGGTGGGGATTTCCCTGTGCTTCAGCAATGATTGCAATCATTTCAAAAAATGCTGGTACTTGGGACTCCTGGATTTCATTCCAGTCTTTGTACAAGTGTCTTTGTAGGGGCACAGACTCTTCTGCCCATTTTTAGTCAGAATGCTTGGGATTTGTTCATATTTGGCTAGATTTTCAGGGCAACATCTCTCACACAAAAGCCACTCCTATTCCAAAGTTCAAGTCCTTACTTCAAAGCATGGAACTAGTACAGCTTTTCAAAGGACGGCTCCTCAGAGTTTAAGATTAGTAAAACAATATATTTTTCCCAGCAGAAGAGTTTCAGCTGAAATTTTAAAAACAAATACATGCATAAATCACAATTTAGCCTGAGACAGACGCCCAGCATGGACTGTTTCAGCCAGAACATTTAAAGTTTGGCAAAGCTGTAAGAGACTGAAAATTGTCTCATCATGTGAAGTGTGTGGCATACTTCATACGAGGTGATATTATCAGCTGCAAGTAATCCAAGCTGCACTCACAATTCATAGACAAAGATGTCAGGGAAGGAAAAAACAATGCTAATAGATCAGTTAGTGCTACGTCCCAGCCTGAACTGAAATATTGAAAAAAAAACACCAAAAAATCTGGTATCTGCTTCAGCGAATCCTTTAACACTGAAATATTCCAAAACAAAAGGGAATAATTTAGCTACTGGTAAATATATTTGACTACATGTAACTGAATTTCCTGGAGACAGACTATTCAGTGACCTTTGAATATAGCACCAATCTGTTCTCTGGTATTCAGTGTTTATTCATTGACTTGATGTGCTAGATATTTCCCAGTGGGACATATGCATTAAGCCAAAGGAATTTTTTTCTTTGGTCATGATCTGATAGCATAAAATGACAAAGCAAACTGAGATATTTGTCAGTTATAAAATTATCCCATAACCTTTTAAAGTAGATGTCAGCTTGCTGTACCCACAAGGAGTTAATCTATCCACGGTACATTATGATCTTCAATAACTGGAAGTGATTGACCAAAGTGCTGTAAACCTGGCAGAAATGTGTTACCTTGTTTTCTGCAAACCACAAGCACAGCTTATTAATTGAGAAATGAACATTAACTGGCATTAGCTGGCATCTGTAAACTGAAAAAAAGAGAAATGACCACAGTAGGCATTCAGCTGGAGACGGTAGAGCTGCAAAACTGCAACAGGTAAAATTGTTTTTTAAGCACGAATGCAAAACCATTCAGTTGGCTGCTGGCAGATGCCCAAGTCTAGGGTTTTTAATGAGGCTTCTGCATCAAAATAAGTGAAACCACATGGAATTTTAATTGTTCTTATTCTAAATATGAAACAAACTGGAGCATATTCTTGAATCTGGGATGTTAGCATATATATTGGCATATTAACATGACCACTCTTCTGTTCTAAACGTATTGCTCTCAGAAAACTTGAGTACCAGGTTACAGTAGGGAGGAATCACTTAGAAGATTTAGAAGCAGTTTAACCTGGGCTCTCTCAAATGAAAAAGGGTGTTTTTTAAAAATACACTCTTTTTTTCTTCTTCTTTTTTTTTGTTTTAATTTTTTTGTTGTCAAGCATGGTGAGCTGATCAGACTGCATAGGGAAAGAAGATCACTTGGTGTGCTTGTTGCCATGTTTCTTTTTCTGGTGGCACAAATAAAGTCTCATCTCTTTACAGAAGTGTGATTTCACAATCATGCAGCCACCATGTAGGGTGGAGGATCTGTGCTTCACCCGTTTAATACAAGCTATCACGAGAGTGGGAATTCATAGATGCAAATTGTTTTCTTGCTCTGATGGAGGAACAATTAGCATAAATCTTTAATCCTGCTGGGGAGAAGAATAAAAAAATTATTTACTTGCACTGTCATGTTACTGTATTGCTGATCAACATTGCTATTTGTGCACAACATATAAAGAGATGGGTGCCATACCCAAAAGAGCTATTTATCTTTCCAGTCCGGCAAAGAATTAAACATATATAAATGAATATGCATCTGTTGTTTGCAAGTTAGAACCAAAATCAGCCTTAACACAAGGAGGTAGCACAGAGAAAGGAGGAGGATGAAAATGCAGCAGATTGCATAGCAGTGAGGAAGGCAAGAAGCTGAATTTTAGAGGTGACTTTTAAAAAAGTTTCTGGACTCACTTAAAAAGCAGGTTTTAGACCAGGCATCACAGAATTTTTTTTCTGATCTCCAAAAATACCTTTACACAACAGAGATACAGAAGGCTGGGAACAAATCGCAACTGAGTGCAGGGAGTTATGGAGACAGCAAAAAGTGTTTGGGCAAAAGGGGGGTTGGAGAAGTGAGTGTGCAGGAGCCATGCAGACACAGCCATGAAGGAGATAAGAAAGGGTTATGGTTATTTGGCCTTTGGGTAAGTAGGATTGTGCTTTACAAGCAACAGTAAAACAAACAGGTGTGGATTTACTAGGGGATGTAAGGAGGTCTGTAGCCCCACATTAGAAATGCCTGTGTAGTGTGCAGATTCCCAGTCATTCAACACATACATGATCTCTTGGCAGCACCCATGCAGATAATATTTGGATCTAGCCCTGAAAGGGAGATTGCCTTTTAATGTGTAGAACTGTGTGGATAATTTGGGTTTTTTTTTTTAAAAAAAAAGTATTGTTTGCAAAGAAATAAAAAATGCCAATGTTCTTCTACACCCTTGCACTCATACCAGTTCTACCTTTGATTGTAAAAGTCTTGTTTAGCTTCTGTCAGGGTAAACTAAAAGCAACTGCTCATGTTGAAAGAGTTGCAATAACACTGGAAAAAAAAAAAAAAAAAAAAAAGAAAGAAAGAAAGAAAAAAAAAATAATATAAGTGGTAGCAGATTGAAATTCAGTATTTTGAGCAGCTGGGGAAATTATGTTCTAACCTTATATTTCCAGATACATATCAGACCTGTTCACAATATAAAGGATAGTGTTCCAAAATTACAGCTTTGAATCTGGGTGGTATCGCCTCTGGCTATTGTTTGCAGTTGGGAACGAAAGAAGTTGCATCAAGTAGTGGAGTGTTTGCTGTAAAGGTACAAGTTATATTACATTCCATGGTGCTGTGGTTGGAAGGGTTGATGATGGAGACAGACCCATTCACCCGTAGGTCACTGATTCGGTTCCAGATAAAGATAATAGTAATCACATTGTCATCAGAGTTTAAAATGGGCTTTTACTGCCCGTTTAAAGCTCTGTACTCAATTTCTTTTGAAACGGCAGATTATAATCCCTGGGCTTCAGGCTGCATGAGTTGGACACTTGGCTGGCTGTGGTCCAGGTCCTCCAGCCTGAACCCAAGCTGTGCCTGAGCTTTGCCTCCCTGCTGCTTTTAGGTATTGCCTGATATTATATTGAAGGTGTTTGTCAAATGAGCTGATAGAACAGGAGAGGACAGTGATCTAAATTGCAAAATGTGCCACACAAGGTGGCAAGGGCTGTTGAGTGTGTGGATTAGGGTAGCAACCACTGTTGTGGATGCTCTAAGGGGCCAAGGGATGGGGGGACTTTTAGACAGCAGTCAGCAGGTCAGATCCTAAGTCTGTCTACAAGGAAAAGCCTTGCTGTGTCTTACATTGAGGATACACCGTGTGTTTCAGTGTTTGGCATGTCAGTTTTTTCTTTTCAAGGAAAAAGAGATGGGTGAACCCTTTGGTCTAGAGGACTTTAAAGCTGTAGAAGTGTCAGCTGGGAAGTACAGAGAGAGCCTATTTGATTTAATTATTTTTCCCCTGTATTTATACCCTGCTCTTTCCAGCTTGCTCTCTGTAAAAGTGTATATATGTATCTACTGCAGAGTGGCTGATGCATTTCTCTCCCTCTTATGCTGTGTTTCTTCACTAGGCTTTTTCTCTTTCTCCCCTTTTCCCACACCCTCTTTGTTTTCCTCTTTTCTGGCTCTCAACACAAGCTTTCACCATCTTTTTCTTTTGCTCCTGTCCATCCCACAGTCTTCTAAGAAGATCACCAAGCTACTAACGTTTGCTTTCCAGTTCTGCTCCAAAACTTCGGGTGTTTGATGTGGGATTAGAAATTAGGCAAAATGAGCTTACCCATCCCTGTTTTGCGTTAGACTCCAATTCACAGCGTTACCATCCAGACATGCACAGTAGCCATAAACTCTGTGGTCTTTTTTTTTCAACCAGACTGCAAAGACTGCATATGAAAACAACTTTTCTCAGTGGCAGAAAAAGTGTTGGGCTTGTAATTTTCCATCGGCTGCACTGAAAAGTAAGATTAGCATCTTCACTACTAGCTCACTGGCCTTGTCCATCCTACAGATGCAGCAACTAATGTTTTTCAGCCATAGGAAATAGCTGAACAGATTCTCACCTACATACATTGATTTCAGGCAAGAAGTGGGGCTTAGTCACCCCCGGTGTAACTCCCTGGTGTCAGTGATGCAACTAGGTCGGTGTTGCCAACTCTTGCAGTTTTATTACAAGTTGCACAGTAATTTAGGCTGTTCTGGAAAACCCAGCTCCTGACGGCGTGTACTGAGGTCGGAATCTCAGCTTTCGTGTGCAACCAGACCTGAGTTTCTTGAGAGGCTGTAGCAAAAACGTAGAGACATGTAACCCTCAAAGCCCAGAAGCCAAATGAACTCCAAATCCACCTTTATTTTTTTGGCTCTTTTTCAATCTTTCAATTTTTTAGAGTTTTAGTTTTTTTTTCCGGCCTGACTTGTGATCTTTGAACGTTCCAGGTTGGCAATGCTGCTCCCTCCATTGGCATTGGTGGAGTTAGACCAGGGATGAGTTTGGCCCAGCACTTGTAGAAGACAGGTGTATGACTCTGTTCCTTGCAATGTATTATTTGATATGATCTGCTGTTCTCTTGGGGGCCAAAAGAAATGGGTTTACTTAGAAAAAATAAAAGTCTATCATCATTTGATACAAAAAATGGTATTTACAGAATTGTTTTCCCCCGTCTTTTGTTATAATTTTTTAGGTGCTTCAGAGCTGGGCCCATTTTCAGATCCCAGGCAGTTCACAAGCATTTCATCCCTCACTGAGAGCCGCTTCTCCAACCCACGAATGCACTATCCAGCCACCTTTACCTATACACCGCCAGTCACCTCAGGCATGTCACTGGGTATGTCCGCAACCACTCACTACCACACCTACCTACCACCACCCTACCCCGGCTCTTCCCAAAACCAAAGTGGACCTTTCCAGACCAGCAGCACTCCATATCTCTACTATGGCACTTCGTCAGGATCATACCAGTTCCCCATGGTGCCAGGAGGGGACCGCTCCCCCTCCAGGATGCTTCCACCGTGCACCACCACAGCCAACGGCAGCACGCTCTTAAACCCTAACTTGCCCAACCAGAGTGACGGTGTGGAGGCGGATGGCAGCCACAGCAGCTCCCCAACCGTCTTGAATTCTAGTGGCAGAATGGATGAGTCCGTTTGGAGGCCCTACTGAGATTTCTTCTCTAGCCGGCCTGACCGCTGCGAGCCAAAAAAACCAAACAAACCAAAAACCAACCAAACGGTCGACTAACTACGAAGTGCCTGGTTTTTTGTTGTTTTTGTTTTTTTGGTTTTGGTTTTGGTTTTTTGTTGTTCTTGTTGTTTGGGGGTTTTTTAAACAAAAAAAATAATAATTTTAATGATATGTGCAACTGTGTAGATGGGAGGATAATGGCCATAAATAACACCAGGGTTACCAACGCACCGCAACCCGCCTTTCAGATTGTGTGGATCAAAGCACATATTTTTATTTTCTTTTTTCTTGGAACCAATTTACCTTGTTCTATATTTAAGATGTACTTTTTACACACACCAAAAAAAAAAACCAACAAAACACTCCCCTCCTCTTTTTTTCTCCCCCCTCCTCCTCTTTTTAAATCTTTTCTGGTCCAGCGTGTTGTAATAACTATTGAGTACTTTCGCCAATGAGGAGAGAAAGGACTCCCTGGCTATCAGGAGAAACATGGTGATGCAAGGCAAAGGCTGCATTCCCTTTTATTTTTTAATTAAAAAAATACCCAACAACCTAACCATGAACTCCAGATACAGTTGCAATCATACAACATGTGGGACCCTCTTCAAACCCGTAGTGCAATTCAACTGGCTTGTATTGGTGCACATAAAAAGGAGAGCAAAGAGCGAGTTGCTTCCATTTTGCCATGATACATTCAGATGAAAACAGCTGTCCCAAAAAACTCTGTCCGAGCCTTGCTGCAAATAACAGTTGGAACTTCTCTGTGTTAATTGCTTTTTTTTGGTTTGTTTTTGGGTACTTAAAAAGAACGAGTCTTGAAGTTAGGCTAGACAACCCTGGGGTTTCCTTTTTGCTTTTGTATCCATTCATTTTGCCTTTGATTAGCCAAAAAAACCAAAAATATCAACCAAAACCTTTAAAAACAAAATTTAAAATGTTCTTACTTATGCAAAGTATGAAAATGGCAATATATATTACTAGAGCCAAAATGGTATACATAGTATTTGTGTTTGGCTATGTTATTTTTTATTTTTTTTAAATTATAAATGTGTAAAATTTGAGGTCGTTTGCTAACATGAATCATCATATAACTTTAAAAGAATATTTATGATTATTTAATGACATTTGGACCCTTTAAACGTTTCTTAATGTAATGATATATTGACTTCGGTCTCTAAAATTGTTTTTGTTTTGTTTTGTTTTTTTACTTTTCTGCAATGGTGTAAACCTCAAACCTTTACCCAACTCTGAAAAGTAGTTCCAGTGTGAACCAGTTTACAATGTTACTTAAAAACGACAAATCCACCCCAAATGCACCCACATCAAATGATTTTGGATGTAGGATCTTTTTATATAACTTATGAAGGAAATATTGTGTTTAAAATATTTTTATTAGCTGTCTGGTTGCCTTCAACACAGTCTTGCCTTTTAATCAGTAGTTGTGGAGACACTGGAAAAATGGTAGGAAGGATGAAATTTGTTCCACCCTTCCCCCTGATTTCTTCTTCTCCCAGGATTTTTCTCTGAACTTCAAAATTTGAAAATATTCCTATTTAAAATGTTCTGTTTTGACAGCGTGATTTGAATTTCAACAGGGTCTTTCCTCAAATTTAAATAAGAACCGTTTCAAAGCCCATATTTTACAAATAATGAGTTGTTGAATATCTCAGAAATGGGAATAAGGGAGAATTGATGAAACTTTTTCCCTTCCCCTTGCAATTTCATCCCACTCGGTGGAATAAAAAGATTCAAAACTTGAGACAGAAACTGCCTGGTAGTGAATCACCACCTGTTAGCATTAAATGCCAGAGCCGTCAGGATGCTGTGTTGACCTTGAAGCCAATGTGGCCGCTGCCGTATGAGAGGGACAAGCCCAAGGGTGGTGATACTCACCTCTGCAAATACTGAAGAGAAAAAGTCACCTTAAAAGCCACCCTGGGGCAGTACAGGGAGAGCAAATTCCACCCCAAACCCTTAACCGACCTGTCTGCTGCCAAACTGTCCAGTGGAGGGTCCTCAATTTTGCCTACCCCAAGGCTGCAACAGCGAACAGGGAAGGAAGGTGGCTTTGTCTGGATGTGGTGAGAGCTGAACCACCCTCCCCATGCTGTCCCCAAGCAGGTGATGTTCAGCCTGGTTTAGTGGGATGCTCAGCACATCCTGATGGGATTTACCAGCTCTCCCTCCTTTCCTTGCCTTAGACATCACCATCGCCAGCCTCCTCGGGGGGCTGCCGGGCCCCACGCTGCTCCTTGGCTGTACTTCGGCTACCTCCAGTGTATTGCAATAACTCAGCAGTGGGCACAGACAATATCATCAGTACTCATTAATAGCAAAGCTGTTAAACGAGTTGACATTAGCATGCGACATCCCTCCCATTTGCGTGATGACGTGCTCTTAAAAAAAATATAAATAAAGTCTTTGCCTTCTAAAGGTTGTATACCGAGTATGCTTAAAATATAAGTAAGACACTTTTTTTTTTCCTAATACTTGGTTTTCCTTCAAAGATGGAAGCTGTAATTGATTCTATTTATTGTTGGTTTGTGGTAGCTTGAAGCATACCACTGTCCATTTATTTGTAACTGTAAAGTAAGTTTGTTAGTCTCAGCAGCACTTAAAAAGCCAGTGTCTGGTTACACATTTCAGTTTTGTTTTTTGTTTAGTAAGCAAGAGAAAAAGATGTACTGCCAGTGCAAGCTGTTTCCTATTTAATAAAAGGTACTATATTTGTACATTATTTGTTATTGCTGAGAAGGGCTTTTTAAGGTTTACTGTATGCATATTAAGTAATTTTTAGGGTGCTTTTGTGTCAAAATGTTGTTAAGAGTGGCTGCAGGCAGCAACCCAGATCCTTTTTTTTTTTTTTTTTCCTTCCTTTTTTTAACTTTGTTGTAAAATTCAAGCACTTGGTTTTTGTTTCTGGATAAATCCAGCACAGACCAGACTTTCATTTTGCTCAAGACCAACAGGACTCTGCTTGTGTCCCCACGGTTTTTCAACTGGACCATTAGGGACAGACGTTGAAAATGTTTCCTCCTCCCACTTAAGGTGCGCGTGCCTGATCCTTGCCCTCCGCTTCCCTGGCCATGCAGACAGGCTCTGCCTGTTAAGAGTTAGGAAGGAAGGGATTTTCAAAGCACCTGCAGATAGAGAAGCACCAGCCCCTTGACCTTCAGTTGTCCCCTGTGCTCTTGAACCCTCCTGGTGCCTTTGGAAAATCTCTCCTGGTGTGTCAGGCTGGTCATGGAAGGAGTTGGACAGGCTAAGGCAGAGACGCTTATCAAAGCTTTCAGAAAATGCTTTCAAGTTCACTTGGAAATGCTCTTGAATCAGGATTTCAGACCAAAAAAACCCTAACTGGTGCTATGTAATAAGTATCAAATTATTTAATGTTTTGCGAGGTGCTTAGCATCAACAGAAAGGAGTTTTCTCAGAGATACAACAGCCCTTCCCTTTGGTCCCTTTGGCACCTGTCACAGATTTAAAGACAAGAAAATGGCCTTTTTTTACTTTGCACCTCTCTTACCCTACCAAAGATTTACTTCCAGCACAACAGGCACGATGTCCCTTTTGCCAAACAGAGGATTAAATCCTCATCTCCCTCCTCCTAAGGGTAACCAGGTCGGGGGCAGTGGGTCAGGACGAATGAGTAATGCAAATTATTTAACCTGCAGCGTCATTCATGTGACTTTTATAATTTCTTTTAAAAGACCAGCTGCTGTGTCTTTCTTAGTATTGAACTTTTTTGCCCCAAGTCCCCCAAGATTTACTGGTTCCCACAGGTACCACCATGAGCGGGGAAAATTTTGCACTTTCACACTTAGCAAAGAAAAGCTCAGCCCCATGCCGGGCTGCACGTGGACAGCAAGCCATGAGCAAAAGCAATAATTAAAACCTGGAACAGCCATGAGCTCAAAGAAGCCCTCTTCTCTGAACCCCTGAATTTCTTGTTGTTTTTAAATAGAATGCATTTCATTTTAACATTTTCCGAGAACTTTTTTAGATGTTTGTTTACTTCCATGTTTACAGATAACTCTTTGCTTCTTTTTTTTTCCTTTTTTTTTTTTTTTTTTTTTTAAAGCAGTACTTTTAAGTATATCAGCCAAAACCATACTTTTACAGTAACTTTTGTTTTAGGTAATATGAATGACATTCCAATTTTTTCCTTTTTGTTGTTAAATATGCTTTACCAGTCTTGAATTTCTGCTGGAACAAAATATTTGTAGCATTTTGTGTAAATACAAGCTTTAATTTTTTATTTTTTCAAATGCTGTCACCCGAGATTTGCTTTTTATGCACATATTGTACAAACACACTCTGCTTTATGCCACAGACGATGATTGTGGATCAGTTTACTTCAACTTCAAAGGGACTATTTGTATTGTATGTTGCAACTGTAAATTGAATTGTTTGGCATTTTCTCATGATTGTAATATTAATTTGAAGTTTGAATTTCATTTTCAATAAAATGGCTTTTTTTTTTGTTAATGTTCTTCTATGCTTCTTTTTCTTCCACTGTCTTCTCTTAGCCATGCACCAGGCAGGGTGTAATAAGTACATGGTAGGACTCAGTACCGGCCCTTTCATGGTGGCCCCATCAATTTCTGCAGTGCTAAAGTTTCCACTTAAATATAAAAAGCAATTTTCCAGGCCTATGAGTGGTAAAGGACACCTTCTAAAGCTGATCTCAAATGTTGCTTCTTTTCCTGAGTCTGCAAACTATCAAAACCTGTGTTTCCTAGAGGAGTGCAAACTGCTCCGTTCATCTTGCTAGGTTGTTAACTCTGAAACTTAACAACTGACATTAATCTGGACATTCTGGTGCTATGGCACTGGGGGCAGAGCTTGAAGTATAAGAGAAGTTGGGATATATTTCCAAACCAGGGGTGGGGAAGGGGGATTTGGGTTTATGGAACTTTTCCAGAGTGGGAGTTGCACTATCCCCACCTCTTCCTGGTCAGACCTGAGGAATGCAGTTTCAGATAATCTTCTGATTTGCATGACCTGAGGCAAGAATGGTTTCCAAGCAGCAAAAGATATATGGATAGGGAGGAGACTGGGGAGGAGGCTATTTTTCCTCCAGCTTTTTCCTCCAGTCCAGGATGGGAGGAGGAACAGCTAATGAAGGTGAGTTTAAGTTCACCCAAAGCTGTCTGCAGGAGGAGAGGAGAGGACAGGAGTTTTTTGCAAGCTTGTGCCTGGTCTCATCGTAAGTTCTTATCCTTTCTAGCTATTTCTTGAGTCTGGAAAAGAGAAACAGTAGCACAGAGAGGCATGAGTTTCTGCTGATTTCAAGAAACCTTTCACTCTGAAGTTCAAACATTATTAATAATGATTTTCTGAGCTCTGTTGGCTTTATTATGGACCTACACATTTCTTGTGTGGTGGTTGAAGACTGAGAAAATGTTCGGGGGTTTTCAAGGGTGCTTTCATTCCAGCTTAGAATCTAACTCCTGATTTTAGAGAAGCTTTATCCAAGAGTGTGGAACCAAGCGAACCAGTCTATTCCCTGTGGTGTAATTGCTATATAATTTTTTTTAGGGCGACTTAAGCTGTAAACATTAGTGCTAAAACTTTCTGCTGCCCTCTGGTACACAGATTAACTCATCTCAGCTAGTTGGAGCATAGAGGTTTGTTCATTATATTCTTGCTTTCATGGTCACTTAATCCAGATGCTCATAAAGGGAAATGAACAATTTTTCACCATTTTGGATGGTCAAGTGGTGGAACAGGGTCCCAGGGAGGTTGGTCACCTTGGAGGTTTATAGGACTGAACTGGGTAAAGCCTGAGGCTACTTGGGTAGAAGGTTGGGCTGGAGACTTCCCATGGTCTCTTCCAGATTATTCCATGGCCTTGTGACTCAGGGTAGGAACTATCTACTATAGGTTGTTGTCTAAGCTAAAAAATTGTTCTGTGACTGTAGAGGTAACACATAATCAGCTAAATCAAATCTGATTTAGGTTTGACAGGATGGAATTCTTGCATAGACTTATTGTAGGCTTACCTAGGTTATCAAGGAGTTACAGTGATCCCTCTCTCTTTTGTTGGCTTCTAGCATGTTCCTCTGAGATATCTGCAGCAGATGTGGTCACCACAAAGGCTGTAAGAGCCAAACCATCACTCTGATCCAGTACAGCCATTCCCACCCCCATGATGGGAGTGTTACTTTTGATCTTTTGATCCATTTACCCTTTTGCATCTTGAGAAGGTGACTTTCTTGCCTCAGCCAGAAACCAGCCACTCTTGAGGCAAAATCACCAACACTGATCAGCATGGACGACTGCCCGATATGGGAACATGGGACAATGGGGGGACATCAATTCCTTCAAGAGATAAGATGTAAAAATACTTCCTCTAAGGGGTGGTGGCCACTGTCTTCCCCATCTGCTGGTGTCAGTAAATAGCTTCTTGCTTTAAGGTTGTCAGAGTTGAACATCAACTCTGTGTCACTGGAATCAGGCCTTTGCTGGTCCCACGCAGCATGCACAGAGCAGGCAGCATCTCCTGCTGCCTCTCCCTGTTGGCCTTGGTTTTAACTTTTTAATTTCCTGTGGCTGTGAGCAACACTGGAGGGACTCAGAGCAGCCACGTGTTGGCAGCCACAGGCCTAAATCAGCCTTTTTTGGGCCTGAAACAAGCTCCTGGGGAGATGCGGGGGGGAGAAGGCGTAGGGTCTGATTTTATGGTTCAGCACCAAGCCCTGTGCTGGCACCAAATAAAAAAATTAATCAAGCTGTTTACTGGGGAAAAGGGGGGATATATATCAGTCATATATCCCAGGATTGATGTGCACCATCTAGTTACCTTCTGCATAATCAGGAGGAAATGAATCAGTATTTTGGGTTGAAATCCCTCCCCTGGGGGACCACTCATGGCTGGCCAATGTTCTGCAGAACTCACAGCACTGCTCTGCAGCGCTTCAAGGGGGGTTGCAGTAGATCCCATATATTTGAGTAGAACAGGACATGGTGCAGTGTGTGTGACCAGCTTTGCAGTTCAGGCATTCCCCACTTGGATGAATGATCACAGAGAACAGCCCAAGGGCATTATTCACTAGAAATATTTTGCTGGACATGTCAAAATTATAAGCGAATCCACTAGAAACCTATAATCTTTGCATAGGTGATGGGAGTGACTGTGGCAGATAAAATACTGAGTGCAGGTTGAGCGTTTCTACTCAACAACTTGAAGAAAAGTTTTAGAGCAAGCTTAAAGCAAAAAAGAAGAAGTATTTAGCATTAAAAAGGGATGTCTTTGGCCATCTGTAATTATAATCTTTTCCTTGTAGATCTACTGGTGCAATATGAGTTTGGGATGTACGGAGCAGTTCCCATGGAGTCTCTCTATGCTACTTGTATGGCCTCGGAGAGGGGGGACATTGAAATGTACCCCTCTGGGACTGGGAAGCTGTTAGCCCCAGTAACAGATAAAGCTGTGAGATACAAAGAGAACAAAGCCTGAACTTCCAAAAGTGTCTGGTGATCTGATGTAGTGCAAACAAAGCAACTTGGGACCTGCTTCATAATTTAAAACTGAAATTCTCAGCCCTGCCCTCCTACTTACATGCAGACTAATTGCATGTATTACTTGGGGTGGATGCAACCTGTATTTCTAATATCAACTGTGTTATCTAACTAGCAAGTGGACTTGAAATTCCCTTATTTGGAATTCAAGGCAACTTGAGTTTCCCTACTGCAATTCAGGTGAGAGAATAAAATAAAATCCCTACAGTTATATCTGTAAGATCTTGCAAAGATGAGAAAAATTACCTTTTGTTCTGTAGCTGGGCAATTTCAGCATTATATGTGATTATCCAGGCAGTTTTGGACTCTTTATGCCTTAGTTTCCCTAAATATAGAAGAGGGAATTTACTGTTTCTCTACTTTGTCAGGGTGATCCATGGATTCAGTGTTTGTAGAGAGCTTTGAACTTTTTTGTTGGTGTTTAGTTCTTTTTACTACAAACCCAATGTTTGGTCTCACACCATTGGATAGTGTCCTTTGAAACAGCACAATTCTAAACCACATGTTTAGAAAAATTGACCCAGTTTCCAGACTGCTGATCTGGTAAAAAAACAATGTGGAGTTAAGGCCAAGTTGTGCTGTCTCAACAGATTTACTCGGGATTTGTGGTGGGGCAGGAGGAAAGGCAGAGATGGCCACGATCGGTGGAGGCTGCTCCCTCCCGGCAGCTCGCTTGGGATGAGCAGCTGGAGCTTGTGGGATGTCCCAACACTTAGAGAAAAGCAAACAACCCATGTTAAAGTTGATAGGCTGCAGCAACTTGCCAGTGATTAATGTTCACCACCAGGCCAAATGCAGACGGTAATTACGCCAGCAGAGATCAGCTGAAGTCCCTCTATTAATAGCCCTGCGTTTTTGGATGTCAGCATTTTCCAATCTGTAAAAGTGGGTGTTATCAATGAAGGGTCACCAAAATGCTGGTTGGAAGGGGTTTCAGTGGGCTTTCTGGTCCAAAAGAAGTTTGATGCAGGACCGCTGCCACCATGGCTGTGGAGATGGAGCTGGGGCTTCAGCAGAGCATCCTGTCCCTGAACTTCTCCTGATGTACACCCCCACCATCCCAAAGTGCAAAAGGTGACTTTTTGCCCAGCCTCTGGGTTTCAGTTTGCATTTGGGTTTTTCCCTGCTTCTATATTTGGACACACTGGGCGCAATAAGGGTTTAAATCTTGTTGCACATCTATAGGGGTCCAGTGCTTCCACCTCTTCATTTTTTATTTCTCCAGGCTGTGACTTTAGAGAACTATTAAAAATTAAGTCAGAGCCTAAACACCAAAGCAGACCCTCACCCCCCAGCTTGTTTACTTTTTCATTTCCTCAATAGGAAAAAGAAGTCCTTAGTAACTGAAAATTATGCTGCTGCATCCAAATGCTGTGAGATAGCATCTCCCAGGAAAGCACAATTTTTATCCCTGCTCCAGGGTTTGTGAGGCTGGTTAACAAACTCCAGGAAATAGGAAGGACAGGCCTTGGAAGAATGGGAAAAAAAACAACTACCAAATAATCCAGACAGATCTCAGGAAACCTGGATGTGAAGGATCTTTGTCCTTTTATTGCTGGTAGTGGTGTTCTCCTAACAGAGCAGGATGTTCTCATCTTTTAATAATAGCCAGGCCAGATGCTAAAGTCTCCTCTGCAAATGCTGCATAAGTGAGCAGAACAGCTGATTTCTGTTAAGATGAACACACCAGGAGAATAAGCCAAAAAAAAAAACAAAAAAAACCCACCAGTATGAGAAATCTCCAGAGGTCTTTTTTTGTAAGACCTTTTGGCAGCTAGATCTCAAAGTCAGGACTGAAAATCCAATCTGCTTCTGTCCCTTTGCAGCTCCGTCGCTTGGTGTCGAGCAGCGATGCCTGCACCGCTGAGGGTTTGGAGCAGCCCTGGCAGGGAATTCCCCCTGTTCTTTAAAGAGCTGCAAAATCCACAGCCTTTGGCTTTCATAAAGCTGTAGAAAGTACCAGTCTATGAGGAATTTTTTTTACGTGCTCCTTGCCATGGAAAATGGTTATGTGCTGAGTTGGGGCCAGTGATTTAAAATGGCATCTTTGTTCCATCTTTTTTTTTTGTACTTTCCTCTGCCCTGTTTTCTTTCCTTAGTCTTTTTTTTTTTTTTGGTCTTTTTTTTTTTCTTTTTTTTTCCCTGGAAGAGATTAATTCAAACTACTAGACAGGATTGTATTTTTATAAGTCATTGTATTGGGTATTAAGAAAGATGCCTCTTACTCTCCTCATACTACCCCTTCAATCATCTTTTCTTTATGTTCAGCACATAAAATGTGTTTCCCTCCAGGCAGGGATCTTTGAAATCACAGTAAAATCAGTCATGTTTGTAATGTGCTTATAGATATCGGATGGAAAGTGTTTGAGAAAAGTAGGGAACATGGTGATGTGATGTTCTGTGTTTCTTTAATGAGGCCATGTCCAAAAGAAAAAAGAACTGACTGTGCATCATGTTCACACATTTTTCTCATATGCTGAATGGCTGTCCTCGAAAACAGTTCTTAGAAACCAGAAAAAAAACCATTGTGAAACTATGGGAAGAACTCATCCAATGTTTAAGATTGCCAGCTTGTGACTGCAGATAAAGATGTTTATGGACAA